AACCGGTCGGGCTGGAAGAGGGTGTCCCCCCCCCCCCATTGGAGGTTTACAGCTGGGATTCACAACTTTGTGTCATTGCCTAATTGTATTGCATTGCACCACGCCATGTGACTGAGAGGCTTAGTGGGACCCCCAGGTATTTCGGTTTACACCTAGGGGCTATGTTCTTGACTCTTTGTGGGGTGGAAGAAATTCAGTGAGAACTCCTGGACTCAATCATTTAAAGGGGTGTCTATTTACCTTTGCTCATATAGCGAATGTTAAATGTAACCTATTTTTATGAATTATATTATTCATCTTTTATTATTCCAGAGAACAAGAGATGTGAACCACATTATAGCCCAGAGCTGGAGGAATGTGAGATATCAATGAGTCAGGTGAATAATGATGTAATGTAATAATGGGGGCTTATAGTCTTGCTTTGCACACCTGCTTTTAGGGAGGCATGGACTTATAACACCCGAGCCTGTATGCAAAGCAACATCCTTCTGCTATAGTACATCTGCTAACATGCTTACAGGCCGGGGGCGGATGACCTCATGAATGTGCTGCTGCTCCTTCCCTGTCCATTCAGCAGGCTGTAGGCCGGAGGTGACACTGGTGTTTTCCTTGACTGTAGTAGAGAAAGTCGGGTCATCCTCCTTCTATGCAGTGCGGTGGAGGTGTATGAATCCCAGAACATTTGCCAAGTAGAGCAGCTCACATACTGTATGTGTATTTCATCTGAGCTTTACACGGACGTCTGCTTTAACGCCTCAAAAAAATGGAAACACTTTGGGAATACATGTGCATTGGCGTGTCTTAGAGTGGGCAGAATTATTACTCTTTTACTATACCTGAGCTGCTCCCTTATTTCTGTCTTTATCTACATGAAAAATTATAAATACAAGCTCCTAAAATTCCGTCCCCGAAAATATTTAGGTTTGGTCAGGGTTTGATAAATTATTTGTGTAGACTGTGCAGCTGCGCAAGGGCCCTCTGCGAACTAGGGGCCCACTTGTACTATATATGGGCCAGATGGGTGATGGTATCTGGGTCATGTTCATTGGCTGACTCCAGATATTGAACATATTAGCCAATGAGAGAGTGAATAGGTGTTTGCACTTGACAGTAGTTAAACAAGGGGTCTGTTGATGACTAGGCCCACCACTAGCTGTGAGCTCCTTTGTTCATTGGTGTCGGCAGACCATTAGTACAAATGTGTCAGGAACCGGATCTGAACACAGCTTAAGAAGGGTTTTTTAATTGTGAGTGGGTGACTGTGAGATGGCTTTAGCTCAAAAAGACTGCAGGAAAGAAAAGCAATTTCTTTCTGCAAATTGATTGAGAATGTTTGTCTTGCGGTGTTACACAGTTGTAAAAATATCACACAGTGCGTAGTCATAGTTAATACTCATATTGCTGTGAAATGAGAATCACATAGTTCATTTTCCTTAAGCCATTATCTTTGGTATTGGTTATTATACTGCCCCCTTGTGGGCATTTTTGGTTATTGCACCATGTTTTTCTGTGTTCCCTCCCCTTGTGTGTAATGAACCGCCCATCTTCTCCAACTAGTCAAGTGTCATGGCTGCCTATAGCAGGACCACTTGTGCATGCTTGCATGGAAACATTATCATCCTTGACCTTCAAATACCTTCTATTCATTAATCTGCTGTATCCTGCTGTCTGCTGTAACCTGCTGCATGCAATAAAGCTTTTCGTGGATGAACAGGTATTTGGTGAGTTCAGCTATCTGATAAGGATTGTCCGCAGTGAGTATATCTGCTTATACAGGCCAGGCATAGAGGTCTCAGCAAGGGATAAATCGCTAATTACAACAATCGGAGTCAGAATATGTCTTATCGTGCAACTTTGCAGACAATGTGAAGGCCATTATGTCTCTTCTACTACAGGATGCATTTTGCACTTTGTTGAGGGAGAACGCTCGCATTCAGGAACAATCCTGTCAAACAAATGAGACCAACATTTCCGTGGAGGTAAGAAAAAAGCTATTTTGTTCTCAGTTTTAGTATGTAGTCAAGTCCTATAACCTTCCAAAAGAGAAAAACAGGGCCTGCCAGCAGGGCCGGATTTACTCTCTCTGCTGCCCCAAGGCCAGGTTCCTCAATGCGCCCCCCCATGGTGAATGGCAGACTTGCAGGCTGTATAAAAAGCAGGGGTAAATGTAGAAAACAACTACACGCCAGGTGCCTGGAACTGCATGTCTTGGCATCGGGAGATGGGAATTCCACACCCCTGCTGCCCCTCTACTCTCTGCTGCCCCAAGGCCGGGCCTTGGTTGGCCTTGTGGGAAATCCGGCCCTGTCTGCCACAACTGGGCTCACCTTCTGAAATTCTAGCTGCCTGCCTAAACACTCAGTACTTTAAATGACTGACTGAACACAAGTATGCAGATAAGGACTTTTCTCTGACTTTGCTGAGCCGCATATTTGTGTTTGGTCAGGGACTCTGAAGGCATTGAAGGTAGCAGGCCAGCATACCAGCCAGGATAATACAATTTTCGGAATGAGGTTAGTAAAGGCAGACCCTGTATTTTCCTCATGGCAAGTCTACTTTATATTGGCATTGCAGCTTAGAAATTATTATTTTCCGGCCTTTATAAGTCTTCAGGTTGATCCATGTGTCCTTGTGGAGCACCTTGCTCAGCCTGGACACAGGTCTTCAACTATTCTCCAAATACAGATTAAGCCCTGCATGGTTCCTCTATCCAGGTCATAAGCAAACAGAGAAAACCTGTTGATCAGCTGCAGGCTTGAAGCTGTGACCTCGCTTTAAAGGCCACTATAGAGGGTAGTTGTGCACAACAGAGACCTGAGCTGCAGTCCCGAGTAACAACCCGAAGACGTGGAAGTTCTCGGCTGATCATTACAGTGCTGTCAGAGCACACTGAAAACCAGACAAGCATAAGGTGCTAGTTAAAAAATACTTTATTAAGAAAAATGTCAACTGGAACCAGCAAAAATCATAAACAGGAACAAGCCAGAGTCAGGAGCCGGAGTGGGTAGTAGTACAAGCCACGTCAGGAGCGGGTAGTAGTACAAGCCAGGTCAGGAGCACGGAGATCAGCATTGCCAGGAACAAGCCAGGAGCAGGAACCGGAGGAGAACATCAGCCAGGATTGGGTCATACACATAATCAGGATACACTGAGCAGCAGGAAGACCACACAAGGGCAAGGTCAGACTGGACTGAGTGGTTTATATATAGTGAATGGGGTGACATCATCACTCAGAGACAGGAAACTCTCATCTGGCTCTCTCAGGTGATGCTCTCCTGTTTGGCCATAAGAGGGAGCCCGGGAGTAGTGAGCAACGTTCCAGAGTCTGCTCAGACAAAGGAGGAATCACAGGTGGGTGGAATGGCTGCCAAGCCAGAATGCTGCAAATGGGTTAAGACAGAGTGGAACCCTTACAAATGCTGAGCAGTAAATACAATACTTTGGGTAAAAATATAGCGTTAGTTGTGTTTCTGTATCTCAGCTGGGTCCATCTCATGCTTCAGGAGTAACTTTTAAAAGTTGAACGATAGGAACTTTTTTCATCATATTAGGTTACACCATCCATCCATCTGTGACTTCTATTGTCTTCATTCATTTTTCAGTGGGAGGATGCGCAGATGGTGATGGTGCCTTTTTCTCATGCTTTTGTCTTTTACTGTATTTCCATAGCAAGTAGCTCAGAAATTCACCAATGTTCTCAACCACGTTACCCTGACCAACTTGACCACCTCAGAGCGACGATCAGCTGTCACCTCTATAGTTACTAGCGTAGAGAACTCGCTGTTGGAGATGTTCTCTAAAGATCTACAGAACCAAAACATCAGCACTCCAGAACTGGGTGAGTGGATGATTGCAGTGGCTTCCAAAGTCTCCCCCCAGCTGTCATAGTAAAGATAAACTCCCAGACAAACATTAACTACCACCTCTAATCTCATAAATATTGAGGAGTCCTGGATGTGGTTAGGCCCGTCCCTTCTCACTAAACTCCATCCCTTTAGCAAACTCCCACCCAAAGGTGTGTCAGAGGTGTGTCATCAGCATAGACCGTATCAGTTGCCTTTCCTCTCACCTTTCCCTATAACTCCTCTCCCTAGTCCATGATCAGCTACATCCTCCAATCCATGACCAGTTCCACTTTGTTATTTATCTTATCCCAATCCATGGCCTTCTCCACTATACAGCCTCTTTTTCTTCCCCCTCTCCATGGTTAAAGGAGAACTATGGGGGGGGGGGGGGCTTTTCCCCCCCTCCATAGTCTTGG